TACTTTCACATGTAAAACAAGGGAAGTTCTGCTTAACGAAGCCCACAGTGCGGCCCTGTATGATTATCATTTAATCGAATCGAGTATTACCTTGTTATTCACCCCTCTCAGAGGGATAAACAACTCTAAGCAATTAACAAGAAACAAGCATTCTGACCTAAAGTTTAGATGATGCTTTAAAGCTGAGTGAAGAGGCCGGTGTCCGCCCAAAACTGCAGGTTAGTAGGTAGAATTTACACTCATTCAAGGTTGCTAAACCCACAAAATCCTCATAAACCACAAAATCCACACAGTTGATCTTCTCATCTTTCAGACAAACCAAATACCAATTTTTCATCTTCCCACTTTCATTCCAGTCAAGATTTGATGCAAACAACAGGAACACTGAGGCCGTGTCCTCAGAAGACTTTCAGAGAATTCTTGAGCGGTTTCGCAACCTCGAGGAAATCAGTTCCCTTACAACACTATCACGGCACGTACTGAGCATCCACTTCACTATTTTCTTGCACAAATAAGAGGTTAAATTTGTGGCACGCATAACTGGCAGTAACTGCTTCTTAAAAAGGGTGAAAGTAAAAATACCCCTTCTTTCACAAAGCTGCAACCAGACTGTAAAAATCTGGAAATATAACCAGTTAATTGTTTAATTATACTTCCTAAGATTATTATTGTACTTATCATTTAAATGCAAGGCCACACAAAATTCAAAAATTGCAACTGAAGAAACAGTAATATCATCAAAAATATGCAGTTTATTTATACAGTGATAGTAAAATCCCAACAATAACACACACTACTGTTTGTTTATATTAAGATAGAAATATTCTGTGAATCATTTTTTCCTTTAAACCGTTAATTTTTCTAATAAATCTGATTTATTAACTTTGACTCTCCACCCATTTGGATTTATGAATGTGCACTTTTAACTGTAATAATACAAAGATGGCATGTAATGTAGTATATTATAGTTGTATAATTTGTTGTGAGTGTTTGGCAGCTCTTGAAATGTGTGCATAAGGTCATTTGGCATTGCACTTTCTCAGAAAAAGACTGTTAAGATGGAAGCATATGTCATTGAGCATTAATACCCATAGCGTGTTAACTAATACTCCATTATAATTCTCACAGATTCTGACTTTTTTGATTATGTGCTCATATAAAGCTGGACAGTCCCTTTGCTTCACATCCAGATGTGTCATAAAAGGATTTCAGCTTTTGTTTCTGAGAAAAAGGACAGTTTTCCACATCATGACGTGGACGTCCGAGTTAAATGAGCAGGTGTTGGTGTCTCTGGCTTGTTGTTTTTTAATATATAAAAGTTTGCATCTTCATGGTAGAGTTTTAAAATTGTGGTTGAAGCGAGGAATTATTCACTGGAGGATTTTTTAGAGTGTTGAGTCAGTGCCGACATTTCCACTATATAATCGTGTCTATTTTTAATGCGGCAGTGCCCGAGGCGCTGGAGAGGACGCAAAGCTTTAAATTCTTTGCAGTTTTTACATCAAAAAAATGAATTTTGAAACTGCTGAGGTATTTGCCCATACTAGCTTTCTCTTTTTATCATCGTTTTACCAGCCTGTTGACAAATTCACTTGATGGAAAAGACAGTTTGGCAGGTTGTTCTTTCAGCATCACATGACTTTTCTGTTGTTTTCGCTCTATGATCAACTAAATATTGGGGTAAATGATATGAAATGTATCAGATTTTGTTCTTACTCTGAAAATAAGGCTTTTTACTCTGTTTCACAGCTACACATGATATTTGAAACACCAGCCAGTGGTAGGTATGTGTGAATAGCAAGAAGAGTGAATTCAATACTTTCTCCTTGAGACTGAGATGAGTAAGACACAAGACTGATTTACCAGCCTCAGAATTTAAACAAAGCTGTGCAACTTGAGAGCGGTTTGAGACACTCTCCAGAAGCTGCACATCTGTAGGGGAGCAGAGTTTGGAGTCCCCACCCAGTTGGTGTCTAGAGACAAAAATACTCATTCACCATCACACACCAATCACAAGTCTGAAAACTGAGAAGGACTTCCTTTGAGTCACACTATCATTACTCAGTTTGCCTTTGCTCCACTTCCTCACCGCTCTCTCACAAGTCAGATCTTGCGCTGAATGTATGCTGGAGGGTCAAGACGGGATGGGGGGAAGTGAAGGGTGTAAATCCTTTTCATTGTACGTGTGAGCAGTGGCACAGGGCTCCTCCAAACCAACTAGTTGAGCAGGTAACAGCAGTTCGGTGGCGTAACTGGAGCAGCTTTGTTGGAGCTGTTTCCTGTGTGAAATAAACTCCTCGCTGCTTCGAGTTTCAGGGTTGACCTGGAGCTGCACACATAAGCAGTCTCCTGCTGATTAGATTTCTGCACATAATCACTTAATCTCATTTGTCCCATAGTAGTTGGCTCCTTTCCATTTATCTGTTTGTCAAGCTTTACTGATCACTGATCAGATTAGAATTTATCAACTCAATAGTTTTATTGTTTCCAGATGGAGGTCTCTGTTTTTTAAATTACTTTTTGTTCATATCTCTCTCTCTCTCTCTCTCTCTCTCTCTCTCTCTCTCTCTCTCTCTCATGAATACACATTAGTCAAGATCGCAGTTGGTAGGAGGACGAAAACTGTAGGAAATTACTAGTATTTTCAAAATAAAAGGACAAGCCAGCGGTTTAAATTTTCTTTAAAATCAGCACAAACTCACAAAGAACAGCCGCACTGGATAGTTACAATGTGCATGTTAATATTAATAGAAGCAGGCTGCAGTGTTGTAGGAGTAGAATAATTTTTTGATATTTGATACATTTCTCTGATGCCATCCTTGCCAAACAATTTGACTGCTAGACTTTCATTAACGCCTTATTAGTTTTATGCAGTTTGGCTACTTTAACTCCATCTCAGTATCAGCTCCCATCGCTGGCTGTGGCAGCTTGCCTTGGTGTAAATGCAAAATGTTGCTTTATCTTACCAAAAATACTTTCATGGAAGTTAATAATAAATTAATACAAAATGGAACCCCCCCCCAACTAAAGTCTTCAATCCAGAGTGTTTTCATATTTAAGAAAATCGCTTTTAATTAATAATCTGATTGATGCATTTGATCAGTTAACCTCAGTTAAGCCTCACATACTGATAAAAATCATTGATGTCCTGTAATTTTGGGTGGTTTCATGTGAAATTTTGATATTTTTCTTACACAACTAATATGGTAAATGGCCTGTATTTATATAGCGCTTTACTAGTCCCTAAGGACCCCAAAGCGCTTTACATATCCAGTCATCCACCCATTCACGCACACATTCACACACTGGTGATGGCAAGCTACATTGTAGCCACAGCCACCCTGGGGCGCACTGACAGAGGCGAGGCTGCCGGACACTGGCGCCACCGGGCCCTCTGACCACCACCAGTAGGCAACGGGTGAAGTGTCTTGCCCAAGGACACAACAACCGAGACTGTCCAAGCCGGGGCTCGAACCGGCAACCTTCCGATTACAAGGCAAACTCCCAACTCTTGAGCCACGATCGCCCCATATAATATAATAAGCAGTGACAAGTTAAAAAACAAAAAACTAAAACATGACTGGAGCTACAAAAAAAAGGAAAGAATTCCTGACAATCAGATTTAAAGTTTTAATCCCAATCGTAAAAGTAGATGACTACAAATGATGTCTCTACTGAAACCAAACTAGTTGACCCCACAGGAGAGGAGGAACTGAAGGCAGGCACACCTTGGACAGGTCACCAAAGGATGGCAGGGCTGAAAATTATCAAAAATGTTGACCTACTTCATTATTATTAATGCATGAATGCTAACTTGTGTTATTAATAATGCATTTACCTTTGTGGATGTTGTGTGTGGTTGAAATGTTAATATCCGTACTTCTATTCTCCAAAAGTTGATTCTGTTCATCTGGACGTAGCGTTTTCAGTGGGAGTAACGTTTCGTCACTCATCCAAGTGACTTCTTCTGTCTCAGCTGACTGCAAGTTTCCTCAATCTTATAAACAGTACATTTGCATAATGACTGAAACCACCACAACTGAAGGAACAATGGTTCCTTCATCATAATACAGGAACTGACCTCCCAGCCCATTGTTTTTTGTGGATTTTGTAAATCCCCCCGCCCAAAAAAACCCAAAAAACAAAACAAAAAACTGTCGAATCTCAGTTTAACCCTTGACAGTCCTAATTTTTCTGTTTAAGCTTAGAAGCAAAGTCACCTCCTGTTTGTAAAATTCTCTTTCACTCCTTATGGCTTACATAATAGATTCGAAGTGAGAATTAGACTTTAAATTGGAATAACATTTGTATTCTCGTGTACTAAAATTGCTTTATTATTTTATTAATACAGTACTATTATATTATGTTATTAATATCAATGTTTAGTTACCTTTGCATGAATATTGTCCTTAATGGAGATACTTTTTATTTTCTTATTGAGTACATTTAAGAGTCTGTACTTTTTCATTTATGCTTGAGTAAAGAAATTGCTTCAGTAATTCAACTTTTAGTGGAGTATTTTTTTTAACACTGGTTTTCTTTACTTAAGTAAAGAACGTTTTTACAAGTTTGATGTTATTTTGCCACCTCTGGTACTCTATGATCATATGTGACATCTTTCTTTTTGTTTTCAATGGCACAGGGCAAGCTGGTGGTTTATGAAATAATACTCTGATAAATTGATTAGCTGAAAGACAAGTTAAAGTTGGTTTATCATCAATGTTTTACAAGAGTATGGTACTCCTATGGTCAGTTTATTATCACCAATTAGCCAGTCTTTGGACTACAGGCCTATACATAAAGGCTTGACCCAGTGTGGAGCCTGAATCCAGAGGTATTTAAATTAGTTCCAGAATAATTTAAATTTTAGAAACTTTCTAAACTTTAAGAAAGCCTAAATATATACTATATACTGTACTACAGAAAGCATGGAGTTTTTGTGTGCCCTAGATAGCGTGTCACCCGTTTTATTTTGAAAACGCACACCGGATGTGTTGTTTCCATCTTAACGCATGAGAGCCTACGACTTAGAAACAGCGGTTGGTGGCTGCTCTCTCTCTCTCTCTGCTGTTCCCTTGAAATCAAGGCGCATTTTAAAACTTTGTTTTTCTTTCTCTTATTTTCGGAATCAACCGGACTCCACGCGAAGCCTGTTTTTATCCAGATGAGCTTGCCATGAGCATCACGCGGCTGGAGACCTAAACCGTGGGGTCTGGAAGAGGTGAAGATGCCTCATGGACCGCTCCATCACCGCCAGTGCGCCAGTTCAGGGCATCCCGAACGCCGAATAACAAAGAAATGCCGAGGTTTAGCGTCAAATGGGTGGTTGCGGTGGTGCTGATTGGGGTGGTCGGCGGCGCCTTCTTCTTCTGCGAGTATCTCATCTACTTTCCGACCATCCTCAAGTGCGCCTGGCCGAAGATCAGCCATGCTCGCGGCGGAGAGGGCATCGACGGCCACTCGGTGGACTCTGCGGTCCGCGCTATGGTGCTGTCGGACACGCACCTCCTCGGAGCCGTCGGAGGACACTGGTTTGACAAGCTGAGGAGGTAATAATTCATTTGCATGTATTCTCATATATATTTGCCCTCCATCCGTCCGTCTGTGCCCGGGGCTCTGCAGGAGTGATTTGTAAACAACAACATCCAATAACGCTGACTTGTGTCCAAACGCGCAGGGAATGGCAGATGGAGAGGGCTTTCCAGACCGCTCTGTGGCTGCTCAGGCCCGAGATAGTCTTTATTCTCGGGGACATCTTCGACGAAGGCAAGTGGAGCTCGCAGAAGGTAATGTAGAGCTCCCTGTTTTTCTTCTTGCATTGCTCTGCACCCCCCACCCCCACCCCCCATTATGATAATTATGATGATGTTCGAGTATGTGGATGCAGAGCAGAAGCTCTGTGTTCTCTGGTCATAATAATCCTAATCTTATTACCATCCGGGCCCCAGAGGCTGCAGGTTTTTGAGGAAAACAGCTGCACCAGTTATCCTCTTAGCCCGCTGTGGTACATCCATCCTGGTGTGTTGGGGGGGAGCTTCTGGGAATGCTCAGAAATCTATTACTGGGTTATAAAATGGGATCTGTCAAGACAGATAGAAGCAAGTGGAGCGAGAGGAACACAACACAAAGCCTCAGACAGTAAAATCTCCTCTAATCTACTTTTCCCTCCACCCACCCACTCGCTGATTCCTCCTCATTTTCACTCTTTGAATGGCAACTCTTTTAATTTGTATTGTGTTAAAACAGGAAGGGCCTGCGTGTTTGAATTCACGCTGAGAGTACTGAGACTTGATCTGCAGCAGGTGAATAGATCAGTCTGTCATTTATTTCTTTAGCTGGCTAATCATTTGCCTCATTTGTGTCTGAGGAGTTCCTCCTGCAGCTTAAGAGGACATCTTGAAATTAGTTATTGTGGTTAGAGAACTGGCCACAAGGGCAAAGGTGTTCAACGTACAGTGGTATGAAAGAAAGAAAAGCATGATGATTTTAGCATTTGTGGTTGATTCACGACGTGACTGGCTTCCACTTGAAGGATTTAGAGCTTGCACACAGAATAAAATATGCTAAGAGTAATAAATGGTGCAAAATTGTCCCCATTTTGCTCTGCTAACAGTCCAAAACCCTACTTATTTAAATTAAATCAGTATAAAGAGTAATATAGAAACAAATTGGCACATTTCAGACCCCAAATTCAGGAGCCGTGTTGGATGTTTGCTTGATGAATGACCAACAGTTCCATAACCATTCATTCTGCGAGCAACCTAACTGATCAAATACTTCATTGTTTTGGTTGTAGCCTCAAAAATTGTCCCACAAAGAAAAGCTATTCAGTGTAAGCAAAAAGAAGCGTGTTCTCAAATATCATTCACCAGTTTTAAATTTGCAGAGCGAGAACGTCTAAAAATGTGAAGCTGCGCTCAAATATGTTTGGTTTCTTTTCTGTCGACAGTCTCACTGTTTTGAATGAAAACCAAGGCGAGGGTGTCGTATTCGCCTTACAACTGACTTTAAAGCTCACTCTGTTAGTGAAATAGTCTCCTATTTACTCATTCTGCAAATCTACCAAGTGTTTATTTTGTCTCAAGCCTCAGAAATTGACCAAAAACCAAAAGATATTGAACATATGGTGTTAAAAAATGAAGAAAACCAGCTTATCGTGAAATAGAAGAACTTGAAAACGATGATATTTGGTGTTATGTGCTTGATTTACGATTTGTTTGAGGCATCTTCCTTCACTCTTTCTTCTGTAAATGTTCGGAAAAACTGCCGGCTTTGTTTATCCGACAATCAGACAACCAAATATTGTTTAACTAAAAATTACTAAAAAGAATCAAATCTTCTGCTTTTTTAATCCAAATACTTTCCCACACACTCATTAATCCCCTAAATCACCTAACTGATTAATAAATAGTTACATTTAGTTTGAAAATGTGGCCAAATCAGAGATGAAAACTGCTCCAAATTCCCACATCCTATAAATTCTATAAATAAGAGACACGACGTATGAAACCCACAGCACTGATGCAATTAAAGGCTGTTTCTGTGTGCAGTTTCAGTCCCGTAGAAGCAAAACTGAATCTGAATGAAAGCAACTCATCTCAGCCGCCCGTGAGGGCTGCTGGGCGACCCTCAGAGATCCCATTAACGCTTGTGAGCTTCTTCGGGGAGTTTTTCTTGTTTGAGGCCTGAAACTTCAGCTGTGTTCGTGTCGTTCTCTCCGCAGCACTGGGAGGACGACGTGCGTCGCTTCCACAGGATGTTCAGACACTCCACTGACACGGAACTGGTTGTACTGGTTGGAAATCATGACATCGGTTTCCATTACGAGTAAGCACATTCTGTATGCTATTGTTTTTCAGTTTTCATTACATAACCTTTACTCTGCGACCGGTTGATCTGGTTTTACTTGGCCTTTGCCTGAGGGACTTCTCTATTAAGCACAGGTTTTACCTCTGACTCAGTATGAACGATTTTCAGCGCTATTCTTTGTTGCCCTAGTTACAGAAATACCTGCCTCCTTGAAAAGTTTTTAAAGCAAGAGAAACATTAAATGTGGCACCCAAAAAAGTCAATAACTGTCTCTCCTACTACTACACCGCACAGCAAGAGGACTTTGTCTACATTACATAAACTGCAAGGAGGCGATTGAATATTTCCATGAGGCAGTTTTAATAAGACAAAGCAGTGGCTGGATGCAGCACATGCAGTCAGGTCTGAAGCCATCGCTGGAGGGTCTTTGGTTTGTCTTGTTGCTGTAGCAGTAATGTGGTGCTTTCACCGTAGTATATATTAACAAGTCACATTAAAAACTAAGAGATTTACTAATATCGGTGTTAACAGTAGTGTTTTTATTGGAGGCAGTCTCACATTTCCGTCATGCAGCTTGGTAATGCAGCAAGCGTGTATTAATCCACAGATGAAAATATTCAGCAACAAATACACTGCTTGAGTATTGTTTGCTGGAAGCTACAGCTGTGCCCAGCTGTTTCAAGACAGTACTGAGCTGTAAAGAGGGAGGTTTGTGCTACATGTTAAATATTGACAGACTAATGAACTGCTGGTATTGTTCGTTTGGTGGTGTTTGAATACTGCCTGCTGTACTGACGTCAGTTGTTTACATTCCAGAGTGACATATAAACATGAGGTTGTGGGCTTTGTGTTTAAATCTCACTTCTTATAATTCATTTGAATTGTTCTGACAGAGACACAAAAGCAAGAAATTGTACGGAAAGCCAGAAATCTTCCTCTTAATGCCCACCAGGTTCTGGTTAGGGTTAGGTTCACATCAACCCATTTGTATAGTAATTCCATCTGCACGACCAAATAGAAATATTACAAGAGAAGAACTATGGAGGAATAACAGGCAGCATCGTCTACTTTTTGAAAATAGTCTTTTTTGGCTTCTGGCTAAAATGCAACTTAACCCCAACCCTCTGCGGTTCACTGGAGATCTGATGGATGTTAACACCAACGGCAAAACAACGGAAAATGTAAAGTCTGATAAACCGAAGCAGAATGCATTTTCAGATACATTATGCAAAACACAAAGTGTCTGTAAGAATAAGTGTTAAAAAATAAATAAAATCAGTAAAAAGATTACATGATTATATTGATAGCAGGTTGGATAAAAAGAAGGAAGGAAAATGTGGCGTCACACTGAAGTGGAACTGCAGTTATGTAGTGCTGACCAAGAAAACTTACCCAAACAGCACTTTTATTTTTTATACTTTAAGCGCTTAATCTACCTCACATCCACGGCTGCTTTAGACTCACCAGTTATTCTAACGTGCATGTCGCTGGGCACAGCGAGATCATGCAGACTCCACACAGAACGGCCTCGGGAAGGTTCAGCCTTCTTGCTGTGAGGAGATGTTGCTAACGGCTGCACAGAAGATCTTGATTCTATGAGTCTTATCTTTAACGGCAAGTTATTTCAGAGACTATAAAGAAAAACAATCTGCATCTTCTAGGTTCTTTGTGAGATCAAGTGCATGCAGTATTAGAGAAAGGAAAACCAGCAATTCCTTATAAGCAAAGAACATCAGGGAGGAAGAAGTCCTGATGACCGGTTAGGGAATGAGGGGAAAACAAAGGTACAACACACAGAAACCACAAACAGCAAACAGGACAAAACTCACGCCACAGCAAAGGGAAGAAAAAACGTTTATGACATTATTCATAATAATTAGTTAATATAATAGCAGCATATAAACCAACTCCATATGGAGTGAAGAAGAAGTGTTCAGTGTATCATGGGAAGTCTTCCAGCGTCATGAGCCTATAGCAGCATAACTTATGGATGGCTCAAGTTCACCTGATCTTGCTCTAACTAAAGATTTTAAACATGCAGTAGTCAAACCCCTGATTAAAAAACCTGCTCTTGATCCTACGGTTCTTGCAAATTACAGGCCTATCTCCAAACTACCTTTTCTTTCCAAAATTCTTGAAAAGGTAGTTTACAGCCGAATAATGGCCTTCCTGGAAAAGCAAAATGTCTCAGAGGTTTTCCAATCTGGTTTTAAACCCTTTCATAGCACTGAATCAGCCCTTTTAAAAGTTTTTAATGACATATTTTTAGCTACTGACGCTGGGGACTGTGTTGTTCTTGTGCTTTTAGATTTGACAGCTGCGTTTGATACCGTGGATCATGCCATTTTATTCTCTCGTTTGGAGCACTGGTGGGCATTAGGGGCACAGCACTGGAGTGGTTCAGGTCCTACTTGGCGGGGCGAACTTTTTGTGTCAGCCCGCTCCCCTCTTGTGTGGTGTCCCACAGGGCTCAGTTCTAGGCCCCCTCCTCTTCTCTTTATATCTGCTTCCTCTTGGTTCTGTACTGAGAAAGCACGGCATTGCTTTCCACTTTTATGCTGATGACTGTCAGATCTATGTCCCTCTAAAGAAAAAAGGCAGATACCTTACACAGCCATTACTTCAGTGTCTCGATGACATTAAGGCTTGGATGTCTATTAACTTTTTAAAATTCAATGATAAAAAGACAGAGGTGATGGTTTTTGGTAGCCCCACCGAGACCCCCAATGTGTATGTAGATTCCCTGACCCAGTATGTTAAGCCAACTGTCACAAACCTGGGGGTCAAAGTGGACTGTGATCTGAAGTTTAATAATCAAATTAAGGCAGTGGTAAAATCTAGCTTCTTTCACCTCAGGCAGCTGGCAAAAATAAAGCCAATTCTTTCACGGCAGCACTTTGAGACAGTGATCCACGCCTTTGTTACCACTCGGCTGGATTACTGTAATGCACTTTATATTGGGGTCAGCGCATCATATATTAGTCATCTACAAAATGCAAAATGCCGCAGCTCGTCTTTTAACTGGCACTTGAAAGTTTGCGCACATTTCCCCTGTTTTAGCTTCACTTCACTGGCTGCCCATTTCTTTTAGGATTCATTTTAAAATTCTTTCATTTACTTTTAAAGCTCTCCATGGCCTAGCCCCATCTTATCTCTCTGAGCTGCTACAGCCTTATACACCCACCCGCTCTCTCAGGTCAGCTGATCAGCTGCTCCTGAAGATACCCAGGACTGGGCGTAAACTTAGAGGAGATCATGCTTTTGCTGTAGCAGCTCCCAAACTGTGGAACGAGCTTCCTTTAGAGATTAGACAGGCCAGTTCTTTATCTGTTTTTAAGTCACTCTTGAAAACCCACCTCTTTACCCTGGCCTTTGACACCACGTGAGATGTTGGTTTTTATTTTTATTTCAGTTGTTTTTAGGTGATTCGATGCTGTTTTATCTTGTTTTTGTTTTAATATAGGGCTGTTTTAATTTTATGTTTTATGTGTTTTATTTATTTATTTTGCTGTTTTCTGTTATTCTATTGTTTTAACTTATTTTCTGTACAGCACTATGTTCCTGTGCTGGGTATTTTAAAGTGCTTTATAAATAAAATTGGATTGGATTGGATTGGATAACTGTAGAATAAAATAGACACACTAAATAAATCACAATGTGCCCCTCATCGAATTTCCTGGTCATCTTACAATATTCCTTCAGACCTACACAAATCTATACAACATCTTTTAGGTGCGAGATACACCGAAAGGAAAGCAACACAAATCCAAAGAAGATACTTTGTTCAAGTATGGTTAAATTGGAGCCAAATAGTGTGCAAACCTTTGACATGTTTTCTCAGCATGCTTTTTAAACTATTGAACAGATCATTTGATCTAATTGATCAACTGTCGCCACATCCTCCCTTCAGTGCAGTTATGACACGGTAGTTTTTCTTTTCTTTATGCTCTAATGGAAGTTTCTGACAAGCACGGCTTCTCCTCCTATACGCGGCATGTTTGAGAGTGTTCAAAGACAAAATTCTGGACATCAAGCTGTCTCAAGTCCAAGTCATGGAAAAGGCTTTGAAATGGCGTTCACACGCCCCACTTTTTTATGTTGTGACCCATTCAAGCAGGGAAAAAATGGCAACTCGCAGCCCTTCATCAGAGGTGACACATTCCTGTTAGCACTTGAAAGCCAAGTTTTACCTTCTTTAAGCGTCATTTTTATCACCCCGATGATGAGAAAATATCAAATATTTTACAAGACAAAAGGAGAGTTAAATGGCCTTAAAATTAAAGGTAATTTTCTCTTCTTTTTTTCCCTCCTTAATGGCTAATCATCTTGCAACCCTTCATATTCAGCTGTGGCCAGTTATGACAGAGCCCACTGATTTCAAAGGCCATTAAGAAATTATGTTAATATGTGCTTTTTTTGTTTTGTTGGTTGGCCCAACGTTTTCAGGAAGGAGATTTATTTGTTAAAAAAAACCCTGATAAGATTTTGTAAGATTGTGGTGATATTCGGAGCAAAATTAAGAAGAAATCTAAAAAGAAATTATAAAAAAAAAGAAAGCAGAAGATGAGCGATGAAGAGATTTATTTATTTCGTCACTGCCTTTGTTAAGAATTCCCATAGAAAAGTCATAAAGGAAAAAGATTTTAGCTTTTATTTTTAATAAGATGGTTTCACTGAGGTTTTATTGTCTTTCTGGTAATTTCTTTAAACTACATTTTTTGTGATGGATTGCATTAAATTGCAGAAAAGTTGTGTTCATTGTGTCCAGCATGTAACAGCCTTCTTATAGGAGACTCTTTTCTTAATTTCTCAGGGGAAGAAAACACGTCATGCTTTTTTTTTTTTTTTTTAAATGCTTGGTATTTGACATGTGTGACTCAGAAATGTGAGCTTTTGTAGACATGCTCCTATGTGGTTTGATTCTAGCCGAGCAGCGGGAAGCATGCTGGCACAGCTGTTATGTAACGGTGCGTGATAGACAGGCAGACACGGCAGACTGAGCAGCAGGTTTTTGTGCTGTGTGATGAGCGTATTGTGTCTCCCTGCAGGATGGACTGGTTCAAGCTGCAGCGGTTTGAGAAGGTCTTCAATGCTTCCTCCACCAGGATCGTCACCAAAAAGGGCGTCAAGTGAGTGACGGGAGGGTGAAACATGAATGTAAACATAAAAACTGGTGACACGCCTGCAGGACAAACATGTGACTCAGCATGCGGGAAGGTCGACGGTTTAATCCCCTGAGTCGGCCTGTGCCACAGAGGTGCTTTTAGACGAGCCAGGCAACTGTTCCCGAGGTCTTAATTGTGTGTCGGGAGATTGCGCACAGTTTTAAAAACAAAGTACCCTCCATAATATGATAGATTATAAGATAGGATGAAGATGAGATCCTTTAATATTCAACTACTGTGAAATTCTTGTGTTCAGCTTTAAACACAACTTGTTACAGGACAGCTTAAATAAAGGAGAAACGCTCAGGAAAATTAGATACAGTCTTGTTTGTAGGGTTTATTAGCACGTCTTAAAATGACATAAATACAACCTCACATGAACAGCAACCTATGGCATGTTAGACTGTGCCATTATTTAACAAAGACGAAGACTCACCAGCCTGTCGAATCACTTGAAGTAGTTGTTTTCTGCTTACATTTGTCGAATTTTGTCCCGCTCTTCTTTGTGGGCATTCTTTCATTCACAGCTCTCTTAAAGTCCTGACACATAGCAGTACCGTGATCCTTTTATTTTTTGTTAGACGTTCCTCACATTTGACTCTAGAATACTTCGGTTTATGGTGAAGTTCACAGTCAACTCAATGATAGTAAGTTGCCCTGATCCTGTGGCTGAAAAACAACTGCAAATCGTGACTCTTTGATTGCTGTGTGTGGCAATCAGTGCGAGGCGTTTCTGTTGATATGCTGTGTGTGGGTTTTGCCAGGGGTGCTGCTTTATGACCAAATGTCCACTTTGGTTTCATCTGTCCACAGGACATTGTTCCAGAAGAGGTTTGTTCAGATTAAACCTAAGCCATGCTGCAAGGTTTCTTTTAGGAAAAGAAAACAAAACAAAACAAGTCTTTCAAGCCTTACGTATTCAGCTTTTTTTAAATCATGTTGTCATGAATGTTAACATGGTAACTGAGGCCTGGCAACCAGATGATGTTTTACTATGTCCTGATACATAAAACTTGAATTTAAACAAGATGTTTTTTTTCCACGTGACTGTAAGAGAAAGCAGAATAGATCCTCAAATTTAAAAAAAAAAAAAATCTAAATGGTAAAAGAGCTCAATTAAATAGAAAAAAAAAGAAAGAAAAATAATAAAGGATTTCCAAAAGTGAAAATCTAAATGAAATTCAGTAGACTAACATGTGAAGGTTGAATATAATACAATAACTTGGCTGTGCAGAGTAAAAAAAAAATGCCCTATTAAATATTAATAAACTGTAAAATTATAACATGTGGGAATGATTTCCTCCGGCAGTCTAATCAGTCATTTAAACATATTTGAAACAGTGCCTGTTAGTAATGGTGATAAAACAAATGAGTCGATAAATGGACATTTATTAGTTAACATGGTAATTTATGGCATAAATGAAGCAGTCACATGGAAAAAGTATGGCTTATATTGGGTTACATATATTTGTTAGGTTTGCTGATTATCAGAGCTGCCTGTGGGAGTAGCAGACATCTTATTTTAAACTTCTTGTTGGTCTTTTTTGCCACTGAAATATGGTGCGCCATTAGGCCAAGATCTAAAGAGCCCCCTAGAGTTTTCAGGAAAAAGACTGAAGTCTGTAATAATTTGAAATAAATCATTAGACTGCAAGGAAAATTATGTACAAGTGGCGGAGAGTTCAAAGTGACTCCCAAACTGTGCAGGACTGCCAGGCCCAGAAAATTCAAAAAGAAAACTGAAGGAACACAAATGTCAGGAAGAAATCTGCAGGTAACAGAGTTGCTTCTGCAGTCAGAAAATTGGACCTGTATGCAAAGCATGCCAGGAGAAGAGCCTTTGCTGTCCACAAACAACGGTTTGTGTGTGTGTGAATACGCAGACAAAGAGCAGACCTGTGGAAAAAATGTGCGATATGCTCAGAGTTAGGATGCATGTTTGGCACAGAGCAGAGACAGCCTCCAGGAGAGGATCATACCGGCTCTGAAATGTTATGGTTTGAGGCCCCTTCAGTGCCTTAGGAAATGGGCAGCTTGCGGTCATTCAAATATGAATCCTACATCATACGATGGAGTGTTCGCTGCCCTCTCATCTCCACGCTACTCCTGGGAAAATAACAGAGGCAGCCGTCAGTACTATAGCAGCAGACTAAACTAGGAAACCGGTCGAGAGACTAACGTGAAGCCACGCAATGATCCAGTGTCGGAGAGAGCTCCACCACACTCTCAAGTAGCTCCTCCGATGAGGCCTGATCAGCTGCAGGTGTGTCATGGTCTTCAGGTGTGGCCAATCACCTGCCAGGGCCACACCCACCAGGCCTGAAGGTGCCTGTAAACACCTGCACCCACACACCTACATACACACATATCTACAAGCAGGGAGAACAGGGACAGTGAGAACACTGGACTCCCGGCAGATCGTTTTCAAACACACCGCTGTCTTTTGCTGCTCAGGTTAAACATGATATATAAGTCACTTAGATAACTTAAAAATGTTATTGTTTGGCTTTTTTTAGTATTTTATTTGTTCCTGAGTAAATCGGTTTGGCTGAGATTAAAGTTATAGTTTTTACACAGCTGAATAAACGTCAAGCAGACAGCTGATTATCAGAAGTGTGAGATGCTCGAGAATATACTCCGGTGTCCTGTTATATTTTAGATAGCAAGGAGTTTATTAAACTTCACCGAAACAATCTGCAAATTTCATTAAAATTTAATAAACTATCATCTTGTCTTTATTTTTAGTTAGCACATACCTTAAACACTTAAAGCTGTAAGCTAATGATAGTTATATAAGAGCAGATGCTGCTGGTGCAATAAGCTGTACGTTTTACGTCCAATGGATGATGATCTGATTAGTCGACTAATCGCAAAAATAATCGGTGACTAGTCGACTATCAAAATAATCGTTTGTGGCAGCCCTACACACAGCACAGCCTAGAATAGAACATTAAAGGCATCCAACTAAATACAACTAAAACTTGAACCATAAGAACAAACAAGGCCCTTTTTACTTCTAGAAGGAGGGGGGGGGGCTAAATTAAAGCAACTCCTCTATAAATAGAAAAACTAAGAACCAACTGATAAGATAAAAGGCTCACCCAGGGAGATAGTGAGGAATATAAACAAGATAACATTTAATACAAAAGAAACTAGGAACAAAACTCCCACATAGATTATTCTAAAACCAAAATGAATCATGAACTCACAAAAATTCAAAAGCCAACTAAGTGATCGCTGAATGCGTATTTACCAGAATTGTGCTGAAGGTCACGGTCATATTTGCCTTTTTACAGGCACTGTTCTGTCAGGTATTCGCAGGAAAGGGAAACAAATGCAGGGTATTAAGTCAAACACAAGGAAAGACAGACGGTGATACAGTATGACTTAAACAGATAGGAGCTGAGGCTGTAAATAGACACGTGAGGCTAACCAGGGAGAGTGGAAACACCAGGCTAACAAATGCACAGCTTAAACTAATTAAGACAATAACACAAGAAGTAGAATTAGCAACAAGGCACCAGAGAGAGCAGACTTACAAAATAAAACAGGAAGTAACTAAATGGGGACTCACATAACAGAGACAACAAGATGCAAGAAGACATTAGGGAGGCAAGAATAACGTAAAGAATCAAATATCTATTAAGAAGTCTAAAAACACTAGGACAGCTAAACTAGCCAAGCAATTCAAAAAACTAAAATTCAAGAATAGTCACGGAAAAGGTCAAGGTCAAGGTCAAATTTATTTATATAGCACATTTCCAACAGTCTATGCTGCACAAAGTGCTTAACAATAACAATAAAATTAAAAACAACAATGTAATACAATAATAACAATAGAAACAATAAAATAAAGGAATTGAAGCAATACTAATTAAGGCTAAATAATAATGAAAACTCTCCAAAATATCTACGAAACTCACAGACCATGAGATTTTTCCATTTCCTCAAGAACTGGTCAGATTTTACTGAAACAAACTGAGGATTTTTATTTGTCATTAGTTTGTGCAATTCAGCCAACCTATGAGAACAAAACGTATCACTTTCTTTTTGTACTTCACACATTACAAAACCTGTGATTTGTGGTGGATCGAGAGCTAGATGAGCTACTACGTCACTGGCATTCTGGTTTCTTTGTGCCTCGATGTCACACGTTCTCTTGTCCACGTTCGTTTATAATTGTCATCGGTCATCATGTGTCATTTAGTATTTTCATTTGTAGAGATAAAACGGAGCTTAATGACTCCAGTATACTTCTAAAAATAATTTTTAGGCTTTAGATTTTTACAATTTTTATCACCACTTAATGATGCTGACAGTGAACCGTGGCTAACAGAATTAGAGCAGTGCTGCAGAAACCTGGGTTTAAAATGTTTCTGCACAAAAGATTTCAGACAAGCTAGTAACAGGATGTGTGTTTAGATTTTATTTAAAACAGAAGCGTGGAAGTAATAAAAGATTGTGATGACTTGTGACTGTGCCAACTACACGTTCCACCTACAGGAGCTTCTCAGCCATGAAGCTCCCGGTCGGCATCCTATTACAGCACCAAGTTGGAATTCAGTGAGCTTTTTAGAACAACCCATTCTTTCACAAATGTGTATCCCCCCCTCAGGATTGTGTCAGAAGGCCATCTGGTGTAAAACTGCTAAATCAAAACATGCAGAAGTACCTGCTGTGATAAAGGAGCAGCTTTCCTATTCTTTCACAAATGTGTTTAAAGACAGACAACAAGGGTGGGGGCTTGATTTTATTCCAGCAAAAATCACCTGAAACACCTGCAAAAATGCCAATTAATTGCATTAGAACACATTAGAACGTCTCTCATAGATAGTGATAATGTGCAGTGTTCTTGTATGAAATATAATAAGGTCATAAATGATCCTACTTCAGTTGAAACTCTCGACTGGTCACTTTAGGGTTAAAACATCCAGTAAATGCTTGTGCTCCCTGCAGCAGTGCTGTAACATATTTGCATTTGTTGCGTTACATTTACATGAGAACAGGCCTTTTGTTGTGTTGTAATATATTATAAAAGGATCTAAACAAAAAGCCCAGAGAATGGTTATGTGCTTCTCCCTTTTTTTTTTAGCGGCGCTGATGTAAAACGCCCACAGTGCAGCAGTGTTTGTCCTCCATGTGAGCTCTAGTTTTAGGATCTATTTAAAGCAGCTGTAAGCAATAATTTTATAATAATGTATCAAAGGTGACGTGAAAACATTGTGGCAATGCGAAAAAAAAGGAGGGCCACACATACACAGAGATTAATGCTCTGGATCCGCAGCTCGCCCTCGCCTTTACGGGCCCGGCTCATTGTTTTACTCTTCTGGTTTACTCTCATCACACGTTTTTAGCTCACCAGACAGCAGACGCACACAGTTATCCGCAAGCTGGCGAACACAGAGCCAGATATTTCCCTCTGGAGTTGGTAAAAAACAGAGAGTGAATATTGGACTTAGATTTGTCAGGTGGCCAGAAACGCAACTCCAAACGAATTCAGATGCGGCTTTGAGAACTGCAACTGTTTTCTAACAGGTTCGCCATCTACTTAAAAGCCAATGATACTGGGATGTTGTTTTGTTGATAACGATGCTTTTCCTACATTTCCTGCCAGACTAACTGAGAATCTCCTTCTCTCGTCAGTTTTCTGCTGGTGAACAGCGTGGCCCTGCACGGCGACGGCTGTCCCATCTGCCAGTCGGTGGAAAAAGAGCTGATCAAACTCTCCAGGGACCTCAACTGTTCTCTTCAGGTGGGAGGAAAATTTCTAGGAGTCTTTCGCACATTTTTACACTGTCAGCGCCTCGAATGCACTCTGCCACTGGCACTCGAGATGCACGCACAGAAAATTAAGACATACCCGGAGCAGGTGTTTTGATCTTCTTACACATCCAGTGTTTATAAAAGCACATTAGAAGTGGTTTGTGTTTTTAGTTTTTAGGGGTTTTTTTTCTGCACACAGCACCAGAACCAGAGGCAGTGTAGCGATATGAAATAAAAATGTTACCTGATGCTTGAGGATGCTTTGTGAGGTTGTGGACAAGACAGCTGATGAATTCTTTATGTTTTCTCCTCTGCAGAGCGCGCAGTCAGGGAGCGGAGTGATGGACGGCTGTGAAGGTTCGCAGCTCTACCCTCCCACACCCCCCATCATGTTACAGGTAAACTGCATGACTCCACTCAGACTTCATCAGAAGCTGATAACATTTAGCAGCGGAAGACGTGATTAGCCTTTTCAACACTCGCGTACCCGAGCGTACACTGAATGCGTTATCGGTCTCTGTTATGGCCCCCGAGTGGCGTCCCAGCTCTACGCTGTGGACGAAACAAAATCCAAACACCTCATTTTGTGCAAAATTCAGCTGCCTGTGCTGGATACAAAAGAAGGGAGGGAAAAAAAGTTATTTTCCAAAGTTGTAGTCTTTTTTTTTTTTGTCTACGTCTCTCTTTTTGTTTTCCTAAGGGCAGAATCTCCTTGCTGCGCTCCAGCAGAAGAAAAACAACACAAAGACCTTCACAAAATTTCTTTCTACAAAGTAGTATTTCTGGAAAATATCCTCATGGTTTCATTTAGAATGCTGAAGTCTTCACATCAGCTTCAGCTATGATAATAATAATAATAATCTCTTCTCTGCTGTGCAGAGCGGTGCATGTCTGTCAAACTTGAGTCATGCTGGGAAGGTATCGCTTCCGGTACCCAATCTGTTTCTCAATGTACAAAAAAATCATTTTGTGTTCTTTGGTGTGCATCTGCTTTTTTTCTTCCGTTTCTATTTTCTCCGTTTCCTTCCTGTGTCTGTGTTCGCGTTTATCTTTGAGTTTGGTTCTCTGTGCGTCTTGTTGTGGTTTTACTTCCTGTTTTTGACCTATTTAATCAGCACTCTGTGTATATCTAGCTGTGTCTTTCTTTCTGTCTTTGCTGGACTGTCAGTTTTCCCTCCTGAGCTTCTTGCCTTCATCCTCTGTGCCTCCTGGCATTCCTGGTTAGTTTCGCTTTTGTGACTTTGATGTTTTCCTCTTTGGACGATGGTTAATCAGACTTTTAATTAAAGATCTTTGTCAGGTTTTTTTCATCCAGCCTTTCTATCTGCATTTGGGTCTTCCTCTCATCTGACCCTGTAATCAATTAATATATTTAGAACTTCATACTTAATTACTGATTTTGGAAACACACGGTTGACGTTCAACATTTTATACTTAACAGGGACCTATCATGCGCTTTTCCATCTCCATATTTCTACTTTTGCTTTCCACATACCACAGTTGCAAATAATTTCAAAAAATTGGCCCCCAGTTCAAACTGTTTCTCTCACTTAACCTCGCTTTCTTCTAATTGGCTGCCCCTCACAAGCAGAAGCTTTCAGCAGGAGGCAATGAAGGTTTCAGTGGTCACAGCCAATAACAGAAAAAACAAAACTGCGTGAAGATGGAGCTCTTGGCTCACAGGGATCACTTATTCATACACTGATCTCAATATTTGAAACTGGGAATCTTAAAAAAAAGGTTATCAATCATTGTACAGACACTGACAAAAAACTACAGTTTTTTTTTTATTATATATTAAAATAAATGGTGTACAACAACCAAATAAAATTTCAGCCAAATGTTATATAAAAAATATATATATATATATATACATGTTTGCATTTTTTGAACAGTATTTGTGATCCAGACGTGTACCAAACGTTCACGTTTGAAACTAATTTAACAACAATTTAGGCTCAACAGCTGCACATCATTTAGAGCTTTTAGGCCTCCAATCAGCAGAAAATATCTCAGCGGAGTAACAATGAATGACTGAAACGAGGCTGAATTTAAATGTTTGCATCAGCCTTAAAATACGACTTTACCCGTCCTAGTTTTCAACCAAATTTAGAGATAAAGGTGATGTTTTTTAAAGGTTAGCGATTGATCGACAAGACCCTGAAAACAGCGTCCACTGATTACTGTGTGGTTTGCAGGGATGTTGGGTTAAGCTGTAAGTTCAACTCTATGAAATGACCATTACACGCTGCTTTACAACAGGTCTGCAACTGTGTTTGAAGCTGACATCGAACAATCTACTTAAATGCTCTGTCAGCTTTTTTTACATTTAGGAGACGTGTCTGCATAAGAGAATTAATCATCTATTTTACAAATATACGATTCAACAGAAAATGAAATGAGGTTCAAAAATGTTCGACTCTCTAATTACCTGTTTAGAAAACTCAAACTTTAATTCCATCGTAGTACAGACCTGCAGAAAATTAGGGAATATTTACTATTTGTGAACATATTGTCTGTCTTATGAAGGCAGTAATTCATAATAACACTATCCTGCGTTATAAAACTGTGGCAGTCACCTCTCTCTCCAAACCCATCAAATTATGGCATCTGATGGTAAAATATGCAGCACAAAGGTCGGGTGTTTTATGTTTTAGTTGATCGCAGAAAACAGTTGTGCCTGTAAGTGAAGCGCCCTTGAAATTGCATTAAATAGCAATAGAGATTAACTGTCATTTGCCTATGACACTGCCTTTATTAACTTTTTTTTTGAGGATGGCGGGCTGCTTGTGTGTGCAGATCTGAAAAGGACAATATGTGCTCCTTTTTGTGGCAAAGCTCAGTTTTGAATGTTTGAGAGAGACACACCACATTGTCAAAAGTATTCACTCATCCATCCAAGTCATTGATTTCAGGTGTTCCAATCACTTCCATGACCACACGTGTATAAAATCAAGCACCTAGACATGCAGACTGCTTCTTGTGAAAGAATGGGTCACTCTCAGGAGCTCAGTCAATTCCAGCATGGTATTCTGATTGGATGCCAACTGTGCAGTCCAGTTATGAAATTTAATAATAACAAAGTGGAAGTGAACAACAACAAGACCATCTAAAGTCACATAGTGGGGTCAGTGGATGCTAAGGTGCATAGTGCGCAGAGGTGACAACTATCTGCAGAGGCAGTCGCTACAGACTTCCATGTGGATGTTAGATTTCCCAAGAACAGTGTGTAGAGCTTCATGAATGGGCTTCCATGGCCGAGCAGCTGAATCCAAGCCTTACATCATGCAGTGATATAGAGCATGCAGCCACTGGACTCTAAAGCAGTAGAGATCTGGTCTCTGGAGTGACTATTCATGCTTCTCTATCTGGCAATCCGATGGATGAGCCTGGGTTTGGTGGCTGCCAGGGGAACGGTACTTGTCTGACTGCACTGTGCCAAGTGTAAAGTTTGGTGGAGGGGGGATTATGGTGTGGGGCTCTTAAAAAACTCTTAATGCTTCAGCATACCAACACATTTTGGACAGTTTTGTGCTTGGGGACGGCTCCTTCCTGTTCCAACATGACTGCGCATCATTGCACAAAGGTCCATAAAGACATGGATGAGCGAGTTTGGTGTGGAAGAACTCAACCCCATAGAACACCTGTCTGTATGGCTGTCTGACCTCACAAATGTGCTTCTAGAAGAATGATCAAAAATTCCAATGAACTCACCCCTAAACCTCGTGGAAAGCCTTTCCAGAAGATCTGAAACAGTTATAGCTGCAAAGGGTCCGACATCATAGCAAACACTATGGATGTGATGTCAACTCAAGTTTATATGTGTGTGAAGACAGATGAGTGAAAACTTTTAGCAATATTGTGCGTCTCTCAGTCTAGTTCAATGCACTATCCTATTATGGTCATCTGTAGTGCTAAACCAAAGTTTTGTAGCTCCAAAGTTGAACAGGTAAGAAGGTAACACCTGAGAAACTTTACAAGTCTCGTTTTTTTTTGGCTATTTCAACGAACAAAGGAGAGCATGATTAAAAAACCTCCCATTTACATCTCTCAGTTGATGCATCCTCGATTCCTCTCCTCGCTTCATAGTCCCTCCCAACAGAGATCGGAGGAGGTGATAGGGAGACACGAGAAGAGAGGAGTCGAGGCAGCAGTCGTTTGACAAAATGAGACATCCTCGCCTCTGTGGTTCATTTTAAAGTGATGCCAATTAAATCTGATGTTGGCACAACCACATCATAAATTCCTTTTATTTAGCCGACTGCTGCTGTATTTTATGATCGTAAATGTAACAGTGCGACAGTGTGACAAGATATTAGACGCTTTTCTTAATCGCACACAGGAAGGTTTGATGTACTTAAATAACTGAAACTGCATATAAAGAGGATAGCTGTTTAAAGAGCCTTTCTTTTTGCAGTATATTCCAAGCGCATGCATGAATCTTTTATACACAACAGGCAAAGAAACACTTATGCGTGTGCATCCAAGGATTATAGCTCCTCCGGCAAGCCTCCTCTGGCTCTCCAATGCATTTTAGGGACAGAGACATCCTTCATCATTGTGTGCTGAGATTGATTCCTGAGTCACAGGCGGGATAGAGAGGACAGAGGAGATAAAGAGGCACTAAGTAGATAAATGAGAAAAACGTCTTGTAATTTATATACAAGATTTTAGCAGGTGATTGGTTTAATTAGTCACATGACACAGATTGAAAATTCTGGCCGAGGTTACGCCGCACACTCTGGGATCCATGCTTTATATAAACTTCCTTCAGAGGAAGCCCTTTCAACTAAAATCATCATTCCGTCCAGAAGGTGTCATGAGTGTCATGGTGTGTTGAGTGTTACGATTCAGTACTCTCTCTGTGACAGCGACTATCTGGAAGAATTACACGTTCAAGTCCAGTGAAACGCAGAGTGGCAGGAGAACCATGTCTGGCATCGTGAAACTTTGGGGAACGTGGCTATTCTCCATGTTCCCTGTGCAAAGGGCTGTTTAGACACGTGGATCACTGCAGATGTATTTATGAACTGTTTGATAGGGGAATTACGTGGCTGGGTGAAAAACTTGACACCAGAAATGCTGTTACTGAGCTGCCCCTCAGCCTGTTTCCTGTTCTTCCGCGAAAAATCCGAATCCATGCACGTTTCCCTGACTGTGTGCTCCGTTCTGCAGCACTATCCTCTGTACAGAGTGAGTGACGCTGGCTGCACAGGACAGGACGCCGCGCCGCCTGAAGAGCGACACCTGCTGTTCAGAGAGAAGTACGACGTGCTGTCGAAGGAGGCCTCACAGAGGGTGAGTACTCTGCAGTCTCACCACACCGCCTCCGCTGTCTGTCTTTTTTTTTCTTTCCTTTTCTCTCAAAGCGCAGATCTGTTCTGAAGTGTTTTCATCCAATTAAAACGGCGAACAACAGCCCGCCGTCAGAAATAGTCTCGTATAGAAACAGCCGACGATGGTGATGATGATGATGATGGTGATGATGAAACTGGTGATGTAAGGGAGCAGCAACCAGCCTCTGAAGCGGTTATGGGTTTCTCTCCTCAGCTGCTGCAGTGGTTTAAGCCCCGCCTCATCCTCAGCGGACACACCCACAGCGGATGTGAGGTTCTCCATGACAACAAGTACCCAGAAATCAGCGTGCCATCCTTCAGCTGGAGGAACAGAAACAACCCCAGCTTCATCCTTGTGAGTGAAAGCAAAATCGTGAACTTTTTACAGTGTGCGAATTAAAGTCGGCATTTTTCAAACAGCAATAGATGAAAAATAATCTAATTAATCTGTATTATAAAGAGAGATTATTAAGGTTGCCTGATGGCTGGGCTGTTTCTGTGTGGATTGCCTTTTCTCTCTGTTTAGCTGCCGCGTGCACAACCTTACTGTTATGGTTCAGTCTCAGTGGCGTACAGTAGTTTTTGGCCCCAGCAGATATACTTTGAAAGCCACTGCTGAGCATGCAAACACTGTAAGCAACTAGCTGATGAACACATCAGAGAATTTAGCAGCTGTGCCAGATGTTTCCCTCAGGAGAATCAATAGGGATTGAGCAGTTGGTTACAAACTACATCTGGCACAATATGAGGTTTTACTTCACAGTTATAGAGGTAAGAAATATACATATATCAACTATAGATATCTATAGAAAATCCATCCATCCATTGTCTTCTACTTATACTATTCAGAGTTGTTGTGGGGGCTGGACCTGTCCCAGCTGTCATGGGGCGAGAGGTGGGGTACACCCTGGACAGGTTGCTATGCTCATCAAATGCAGCTCTAATTCATTGCAAGTCAAAATGACCCTCAGCTCCCAACATCCAGCCACTGTTTCGAATCTAAATGGGCTGTAGGCGTGTATGTGAGCATGAATGATTGCTTAGGGTAGTGGTGATTTGAACCCCCTTTTGACTCCATGGCTGCCTTCATGGTTTAGATTCAACAAGGTGCTGGAAAAACTCTTCAGAGGTTTCAATCCGAATTGGCACGACAGCATGACAAAGTTACTGGAGATTTGTCAGCCGCGGATCCGTGATCCACAACCATGTTTGCATCAATTTCACTTCCACCAAGGAAGGAGGTGAAGATTTTGAATCTTTTTTGTGAGAGTGTCCTGAGCTGACAAATGGCATATTAAACCAAACCAGCACCTCAAAGTTCAGGTTTGAGTTATTGTTCCAACATATTTGAGAAAGAAATTATCCTGTTTCTTCTTTTTAAAAACTCAAAATCCCAGAAGCTACAAAATCCTGATTCCAGGTGAGAATATGTCCCTGACTATGTGCTCTGTCCTTTGCTGCTCTGGAGGCTTTTGTTTGAACTTGATTTAAGCAGAAACTCTTAAAATAAAGTTAAGAGGAAAACAAAGATAGCATTAAACTAACATGATTTTGTCCAATATCTGTGACAGAGAAACATTCAGAACAATGAGGACACGCAAACTCCCCGAAACCACCTTATGTCAGGCAGCAGTACTTAATAGTGAGCTAGAATCAGGTGGCCTAAATTTGATGTTTTTCTTTCATACAAATAGTTTCTTAATAAAGTGTTTAATTATATAGTAAACAATCTGCTGAGGTGAGATTCTGTTGAATCTGTTGTTCCTTTGTTTACAGGCTATAAAAACCCCCCAGATTCATTCAGATAAAAAAAAAAATAGGAAGAAAGGAACTCAAAATGAGCTCCTATTTTTAATCTTCGGAGGCCCTCTGGTGGACGAAGAGCTCTAAGCAGCCACCTCTGCCAGTATAAACATTACTCATCACCTCTAACTCACGTTATTTCTCACTTCTCCCCCCTTTCTTCTCCCAGGCGACGGTGTCACCGAGCAGTTACACGCTGTCCAAGTGTTTCCTGCCGGAGGAGAGCACGGTGATCAGCGTTTACTGCTCGGCCGGCGCCTGCCTGCTGCTGCTGTTCCTCGCTCACTGTCTGTGGATGAAAGGCCTGCTGCAGTGCCTCAGCCTCTGCCTGCTGGGGAAACACAAGTCTCTGTGAACTACATTAGCCACAGCCCACCGGGACAGAGCCATAAGCTGGTAATTTGGTGTAAGTTGATGTGAGGATGCTCTGTGTGGACCAAAAATAACGACAAGAAAAAAAAATCTGTTTGCACAACCTTGATTTGTTTGTCCGGGTGTTTAAAGGCACTGTGAAGGACATTGTATGATTTTTAAATGTTTTTAAAGGACTCAGAGTTAATCACTACTGGTACTGATGGTGATGTTAGAGCCTGTGACGGAGGCCCAATTGTTCTTACAAATCATCAGTTTGAACTTCCTCGGAGGAAAAGTAACCGTCACTGACTTCACCGCTGAGTGAGAAAGTACGCATGCGTGGCACGGGTAGCACAAATCAAAGGAGTAAATATGTAAATACTAACTGTCCCTGGTCTGGTTTAAGGTGGTGAAGGTGCTTTAAGTCTCTTCTTTCTGATGTTACCTGTGAGCCGACGTGAACGCACACTGATCATCTCACTCAACTCTGAACACTCTTCGTTTCTGTCGTCGATGTCAGATAGTCCATCCGGGTTCCTCATTGTTTTTATGACGCATATCAGAGAAAAAACAAAAAGATATTGTTGCTGATTTTCTGTGCCAAATGTTTGTGAAGGTTTTTTGCCAAATCGTTGGAACGTTTCTGATGAACTGTACATAATAAATAATCAGAATCTTAAAGCCTGTTTCACAGTTTTCTGGTGGACGAGGGAGGATGTTATCACACGCGACAGACGAAATCCTTAATATATAGGTACAAATATTTTATGTTTGCAGATTCATGTGAAATAAAATATAAGAAAATCGGTTCAAAATTTGTTTTCATTTGGGGTTTTTTGCATTTGGTTTGCTTGGTTGTTTTTTATTTTAGTCATTTTATAACTGAGAAAACAGCTTTTAGCAAAAGTATAACAAAGTACCTTCATTTTTTACTTTAATAATGTGCAGGATTAATCCACTATGTTTATTTGATATTAAATTATTCACTATTTATTGATTGGATTATAAATTCTATAGAACAGACCTTAACTGTGACCCAGTTTCATCTTTTTAGCTGTGGTTAAAAAGATGGTTTTGACTCTAGAATACTTTGGTGTTTTTGACTTGGTCAGCCTAATGACTGCTGGTGCCCGGGTCCCGTAGCTTCAAAACAAGCCTGAAATCATCATCATGATGCTTTTCATTACACTTGAATGAGATCTTTGTACTACTATGCTGTGCTTTATTTCTGCCAGACGTGGCACTGAACTTTATGGCCAAATGTCCACTTTGATTTCATCTGTTGACAGGACATTGTTCTAGAAATCCTGTGGTTTGTTCAGATGCACATTTGCAAACCTCAGCCATGCTGCCAGGCTTTCTCCTGGCATCCTCTCCAAACGAGCCATACTCTAATTGTACTGTCATGAACTTTAACATTTAACTTGCTAAATGATGCCTGTAGAGTCTGAGAGTCATTGCACCGTCTGCGGTTGGGGTGAGTTTGCTGGAATGTCCACTCCTAGGAAGATTGAGAGCTGTTCTACGTTTTCCACTTGTGTATAAGCTTACGGACTGATCAAATTGTTTTTAAATGGTTGTGTGACTGTGTAGGCTCTCAGTCATGGATATGATAGTCTTGAGAGCTTGAAAAGAAGTCACCTGGACTTCTTTAATTTGTGAAGAAGTTTTGCCTCACCTGGTATTTAACACCTTGGTGGGGTCTAGTCCTTTAAATCATGCTGAAGGTCGTTGGCCCACTATTAATCATGTGACTCCCCCACGAGCCAAGGTGTGAAAAAAGGCATGGGTAATTACCATTACCGGGCCAAAGCTGTGAAACCTAACTGCCCCAGCCCACCTATAGCTATAGGGCTTTGGAGTCAGCTGAGGCATTGTTGTAGTTTTTTTATGAATTTGTTAATTAGCATAAAAGAAGGAATGTCTGGTTTATTAGTAACTTTAAAACTTAAGTACAGAAAACTTTATATTTACCATCTTCTTATCTCTTACTTACAGTTTGGCAACTAATGTCACGGATTTAAATCAGTATTTAAAATTTCAATCATCTCTTCTCTCAACACTTTGTTCTTATTTCATAGTAAGTGGATCGAGTTTTTATCATCAATCATTTCAGGTTTTGAATGTGTGATTTCAGTCACATATAGCACAATATTGTTGTCCAATTCTATGCATTCCTAGCACACACAGCCAGCCATTATTAACTTTATTAGCTGAACCTGCCTTCTGTGAAGTTTAATCAACCAGAACTGTAAAATCAGGTAAAACTGTTTATCATGATCATCTCAAAGTTAAAAACAAAAAGATACCGAAAGTACCCAGCTTCGCTCTCCTCACAATAGTTTCAAATATTAGTAACAAAACAGCAAAAATAACAAATATAGTAATTAAATAACCCTTACATGCCTTTAGATGCATGAAAGAAATATGAAAAATGTAGGTATTAACAAATCCATAACAATCGGCATAAATTGATATTTAGGTTAATTTGCTTTTGTATTTATACTTTGAAACGCATGAAAAATACAGAAGAAAATACAGAAGTAAACAGATTTCGAAACTAATAACTAATGCGAGAAAGTAAAATATTGTTAAGGCGATGTAATTGTAAAAAACTAACAGAACCACATGAAAACACAATTATGCATAACTTATAACTATTATTTCTGATGCATTAATTTGCATATTTATCAATTCATTAGTTATTGTCTAAGGAATTAAAATTAACATGGCCGAAATGCATCAAATATAAATTAATTTGTAGAATGTGACGAGTAATATTTCTGCTTTATTTGCTTTTGTATTACAAATAATAACCGATAGAAAAACTATTTGTGGGTGAGGAAAATGAGAAATTATATTAAAAGTAATAAATTGGGTATAAAGTCAAAATTCAATGGGAAATTAGATAAAGTGGAAAAGTGACACACGTGTAAACATTTAAAGAATCAAATTAAAACTTACTTGATGCAGTATTAAATACTGACCATCGCCATTTATACCATTTTAATGTTAGAGATTTATACCAAGTATTAAGTATTTATTAGTTTCACATTTTATAAATGCTCACCCAATATTTGGTGCATTTAATGGCATATTGATTTACTTATCTAATCATTTTTTGTTTTTGTTTGTTTTGGCCGTTTCGGTCTCCCACATTTTTTTTATTTATTTATTTTTAATCACCAATGAATAAAGAAAATCCGGACACAACTGGACACCAAGATGGAAATAAAGCAAAGTCCTCTAATGTGCCTCTTTATTTAAAGAAAATAAAAATGTCATTTAATCATCCTCCCAGGCCAAACAAGGTTTTTGCACCTCCAGTCAGTTCACTCTCTGTTGGGGATAGACGTGTACTGTAGCAGAAGAAAAGGCTGATGCTGTTTGTACAAGGAGAAGAGCTCGTCTTGTTGGGTGCTGCTCACACATTCATAGTGCCTGTGCCATCGGGTATGGCTCCAAAGGACCAAAGAATTACTAATATTGCACGCTCTCATTTATTCATCTCCATTCTAAACATGCTTTCCTATGTGTGTATGTATACATATTTACCGTATACATACATAGGTATGTACACCTAGGCACACACATAATTAAACATGTATAATTGTACATATATATTTATATAGACCTATAAATTTACATGTACATACATTTATAAAATTTTATACACACATACACACTTGCTCTCCAACACTCTCACACACACACTCACACAATGCATCTGTGAGTCTATGTTTGTTTTATGTACACATGCGCACAGGCACGCACATCAGTACGGATCGCTCACACGCGCGCGTACGCACACGCACTTCATATCGAAAAAACGTTGGTTCCTATTAAAACAACACCAGGTTGCAATTTGGACACTTTCAATGGAATTCAAATGTTTGTTTAAAGCTGTGAAATTCAAAAAATATATATAACAAAAGGAGGGAAAACAAAACAAAAAAAATAAAAGAGAACGAAAAAAAAAAAAAGGCATGGCGCTGCAACATCTGGTCTTCACTGCAGGTAAGTGGTTAATTTGCATAATGTATACAGGTTTTTAGGATTTTTCCCCTATTTTTTTATTTCTTACTAAACAGCATTTCCTTTTTTTTTCTTTTTTTTTTTATAAACCAGAAAAAACTAAACTCTACAGAGAAAGTCCCCTACCTGCAGTCTTTCGCTGCCGATAGAGTTTGACATCAAGCTGTACAGCGCAGTTGAAAACATACTTACATCTGAGCTCATTTACAGGTACAGCCATAATCAAGGCACAAAGATCTACAAGTAGATTTGTTTTTCTTTCAATTAAGTTGTACAAAATAATATTACATTTTACAGTCTGTACAGGATAATTCAACCTTGCACAGTGTACAAGTTAACAAAAACCCCCCCAAAAAACCAAAAACAAAAACAAAACAATACATTTTTTTTCTCTCCCGTCCCACCCACCCTCCTCCCCATCAGTATCTCTAAGCTAAAAGGATGGTTTGTGTGGAAAAAGGAGGCAGGTCCGAGTCCGTGGAGGCAACAGGGCTAAGGTGCAGAGAGCTCAGTCCCTTTTCCTTCATTAAAATCCGTCTTCTAGTCGCCGTAATTTCTGCCCCCCTCCCATCTTTAATCTCTCGCTCCACACGTCTTCTCGGCTGCTCGGTCCGCCCTGCAGCTCGGCAAGCAGGGCGACAGGATAATAAATATTGTGATGCTACATTGTGTGTATGCTTCCTCTGGAAAAAAAAACAAAAACAAAAAAACACAGACAACAACAAAAAAAACAAAAGTTATTAAGGAACCTGATGCAAAGTGCATTTATGTCTTCATCCATTCGGTTCCCTCTCCGTCCAGCCGTCTTCAACGCGGGGAGAAGAAGGCGGTCAGAGAGGCTGAGGGCGGGGTGACAGGCCAAAAAAAAAAAAAAATATTACAAGAGGTGGTGAGGGGTCATGGCGGTTAAACACACACTCGTTCACATGGCATTCCTCCCTCTCTTCATTACACACACATACTGCCTCTGCACTGAGGTCCTCCAGGTGTGTTTTATGTGTCCTCGCCCACCAGTCCAAGTCCAAAGACAAAGCCAAAAAAAAGTGGACACAAAGGGGCAAAAAATAAAATAAAAGGAGGTAGCCCAAGGCTTAGTGGAATGACAAAAATCAAGGCATTCAAAAAGGAAGGATTAAAAGAAGAAGAAGAAGAAAAAAAAAAAGAAGCGGCACACATCAACTTTGTTCCCCAGCTTTCCTTTTACATCTGTGAAATGGGGACGAAATCTCGGAGAGAGAAAACAAAAAGTAGTACAAAAAGCTAAGAAGTTAAAAAGAGGAAGAGGATTTGACACACTTCAGTAGTACTTCGTAGTCCTCGACAGGAGGGGCGGTCGGGGTGGGTTTCTTCTGGGGATGTGGGGTGAAGAGTCAGGGAGGAGCAGGAGGAAAGGTTCGTCAAGGTTGCAGAATGGTGGAGAAAAAAACAAAAAAAAAAAAAAAAAAAAAAAACACAGAAGGCTGACGGAGTCGGTCTCCCATCACAAGAGTTCGTACTGCCGCAGGTGCATTCTCTGGATGATGTCCCGGCAGTCGTTGAACACCCGCCGGATATTCTCTGTGTCAACGGCGCAGGTGAAGTGGGGGTAGCAGTAGTGTCTGCCGTCGCCGCTCGCAGTGCTGATCCGCTGAGGAGGACACAGACATGACACGTCACATCCTCCACGCCGCGAGCACACGTTTAGCCTCCCTGATGTTCCCTCAGTTTCTCAGATCTGCTGCTCTCGTTTCTTCCCTTCATTATTTGATTTTTCTTTACAGCTAAAAGTTCTTACAGCACCATCCCCACCTAAAAATCACACTACTTCCTGCCTCTGCAGCTTAAACTGTGACTCATCTGAGCACTTCACTGTCATTTTACTCAAAATATCTGGATCACATCTGTTCTGAACACCACTGGGTTTGACTGACTTTAGCAGGCCTTTAACCATTCTTAATTTCACACATCAGTTTTCTTTTTGTTTGTAAATGTGATGATAAATAGTTTTATTTCATCTTTGAATAAAGCACACGCCTTACTATATATTATTTAAATTATTCAATTCAGCTGAAGCATTTAGCTCTTCCTGCTTCTTACCTTGAATATTGCTCAGCATATTTAAGATTAATGTGCTAAAGCCAATGCTATTCTAAGTTTTCTGTGCACTTTCAGTACTTTGACACTTAAAGGCCTCTCAACTTCTTATTTTTAGCGCCCTCTATGGGTTAGATATCACATCACAGGCATGAATAGATTGCCACAGTTTAATTCTGACTGATGTGTGTATCAGACGCTGATGAAAACACTCTGAGGGCAGGGGGTTCCCCTAACAATTCACACTTAAAATATTATTCTACCTGACGACAAAGTGGCTCAGTAGTTATGTGCAGTTACACTGTGCCGCGCTTGTTTCGTCTTCATTTTTGTAAAAAGTTTGCATCTGTAAAAATGACATCTTTCACCAATGTGCACCAAAACATAGTTGTGATACGAGGAAGTCTGTAATTTGCATAATTCTTCCTAAAAGTGCACTACATTTGGAGTACGTGATTCCCGTCACACATATTCCCAGGTATCTGTCCCAGGTAACAGGAGTACTATCATAACGCATTTATTTCTGGGAAATTCACAGCTTTCAAGCTCGCTGTCATTACTAGAAACTGAGGCAAGTAATTTTAGAGCAATCAGTCCCTAAATACAGCTTACATGACCATAAGTGTGTCTAGCGTGTTAAACACTGGCCAGATAACCACACTAGACCCATATTTGTTCTACCCACTAAATAAGAACAACATTGGTCACTATTAAACTGAAACGCTGGAGTCACTATTTTGATATGAAAGAAAGAAATTCAGCCACAGGACAGCTCACATTCAAACACCAAGAACAGATGTAACCCCTTCACTTCCTCAACTAAATGCTTCAAGTTATTGCTGCAGCATTAAATCCTACTAATAAAGTTATAATCTGTATAATAATGTTATTTGTGTTGTAAAGATTATTTGTGACTACAGAGTGTATACAAAAAAGGCCATGCAAAAACAGCTTCGTTACAGCCATTTATAGTAAAAACAAATGCAACCGAATTTAATTTTTAACCCTACAGAATGTGTTTCGCGATCAGCGGCAGGACTCGTAGCAGCAGTTGTACCTGCTGAAATCAGCGTTGCGCATCTGCGGACAACTTGTCCCCACAAGGAGGTCGGCACCACCAGAAAAGGTTCATCAGGTTCAAAGCAACATAACAGGCTCAGCTGGGATTACAGGTACGTGTGTAAAATACTAAGTTATGAATTAACAGGACAAGTGTATTCGTGGCTGGACACTGATTGACTTCAGCTCACTTCAGACATACGCTGATACACTTACAAGAAACTCGTCTCGGATGAAGAACTTGGCTCTCGTCACTCTCGGGTCTTCACCGGGTTCAGGAGTTGCTAAAAAAAAAAAAAAAAAAAAAAAAAAGAAGAAGAAATTTAACGTTAATACAGACGATACGAGGAATTCAAAAGTCTGTCTGGACATAGACGAGGTGCACTGAGGAAGGAACAAACCTTCATTTGGTATGGTGTAGCGAGCATATTCAGGGAAGTAGTCTTCAATTTTGGATTTTCCAGCTAGTACTTTCTCAGCCAGCATGTCCTGCTTGTTCAGGAATAATATGACGGATATAGTGCGTAACCATCTGAAAACAAACAAACAAAAGAAAAAAAACACCATTAAAGAAACTGCACAAGCTTCACCCTTCAGTCGTGGAAATTTTGGGATTTTCAAAGATAAAGCTGACAGTCATTTACACACATCACGATAAAGGTGAGACAGAAGCAGGTTTTATTTACTTATATTTACTACTTTTTAAGCCTTATGTGGGCCTTCTCTAACATTGCAAAAGGAAAGTGAGCATTTTCTAACATTGAGTTAAAAAACAAAAAACAAAAAAAAAAACCCCACAACAAATAGGGACTCACCTGTTGTTCCAAATACTGCGGAAGAGGTCCAGAGCTTCCCGTAGCCTGTTGGTGTTATTGTCTTCCCTTATTACCATGTTGTAGCTGCTGCTGGCCACCACGAAGATGATCGCAGTGACGTCTGGAAGAAAACATGAGATAGATTTTGACGTCACTGGTCTTAAGGAGTATATTCAAGTCGTGTCAAATCACCTTTATTTATATGGCATTCAAAACTACGGGAGTGGACACAAAGTGCTTTCCAGTTAAGGGAAATGTATTAACATTCAAGGTTTAAAAAACACACAATAGCGCAGTGAGAAGGAAAGCAAAATTTATAGTAATATGCAAACCAAAACCAGGAGAAAATTTAAAAATAGAAACAACTGACTAAAAGAGCACTTTGTGTCAAGGAAAACAAAAAACGAGACAGCTCAGATTTGACTATAAACAAGTCAAAAGACTAGGCTCTTCAATACCAGTTTAAGATTTGGACTGGTCCTTGTGCAACTGACGGGATGCTGGAGCTGAGAGAAAATGCCTTAAGATGGGCAGGATGTAATGGGAGGAGAATGAGCTGCAGGTCGAGGATGTACAGTGTGGCTATTTGAAGGAAAACAAGGAGGAAAAGTCTCACCGTTAAAGCACTGAATCCATTTTCTCCTTTCATCTCTCTGGCCCCCAACATCAAACATGCTGTGGAAGAGACAGTAATGGGTCAGATACTCGCTGCTGCCCTCTTCTGATCAAAGAGCTCATATCACTCAGGACTGGGGGGCATCAGGTACATACTGTACGGCACTGACACACCAGTTTTGTTTCACAGATTGTCCTGATAAAGACTCAAATTAAAATTAAAAATCTTCACAAAAGACGTGTTTCTGTCTCGTATTACATGTGCTTCTGGTTTGCAAAAAGAGATCCTTGACACTTACGGAACGGCTGTGGACGCATAAATAATCCATTAATTAATAAATGTTACGAAGGGCGAAATTATTTGTAATGTCTGTGTGACCCTGGCTGGATGTTTGGGAGTCATCAAAGCCGAATAATGACAAACGCACACCCAAAGGGAAGTCATGACCCAGACCTTTTTTTAACCAGTCGTTTAGGATGATATAATGTGATACAAAGGCCCATTTCAGATGGTAGAATAAGACTGTTGTGTCTGCGACTGCGGAAATGGGTCACCTCATCTGACATCATCAAAGCTGTTACAAAACATTTACTCTAACCTTTATCGGCTGCTCTAATAACTGTAACCAACAGTAAATAACTTGCAACAGGCTCAGAAATCACACTGGTCGACCGCAGGGGAATCATTTTGCATTTTAGTCACCTCTATGACGTGCATTTCTACCTCATCTTCCAGCTGCTGAGCAGGTTGTGGGCTCAGGGTTTTGTTCAAAGGAACAAACTTATGACATTTGAGGCTCTTAACACGAGGCCAGAGTAAATATAGCAATAACACCCAAGAGGGCAGTGATCCAACAAGGAGGCACAGTCCAATGTTTTTAAAAAAAAAAAGAAAATTACTGGAAATCCGGAAAACACCTAGATGGGCTCATTTTCACAATTCTGTGGAGTTCGGAAAAGTTGCTGCATAAAAGGCAATATTAGATAAACCAATTTTAGAAGGAATACGGGGCTCGTGATTATTTTGTTCATAGGGGTGTAAATAATGGAATGAGCTGGAAACACAATGATAATACTGATCCTTCCCATAAGTACTTTATAATGGCGTCTCATCAAAAACCAACAAACAACAAACAAAGAGGAATGTGGCAATGAAAACTGAGACCTTCTGGTATTTATATGTACACGTCAGGGTTGCCAGATCTGTGTTACAAAACCAGACCAATATCCAGAGCCGGCAGAACACATTTTCAGTAGTGCCACTTTAATTCCTCTGATTACAGCTGCCATAATCTATGATAATATAGCATCATCTGCTAGTAGATTTATATTTTATAATAATAATTCAAATCTGAAAATAATTAGTGTAAATCGTTTGTCCCTTTGTAGGCTTGGCCCAGTAGAGGGGTGTGGTTGCTGTCGACACTCAAAGTTAAAGTTAGCTGAGCTATGTGTGCATCAGTGTGTAACCCCCCCACCCCAAAAAACAGCTTTCTTTCACATTTAAACCAACTAATGTGAAAATACTGCTGGCAACTGCTGATCAACTTCCCAGCCTACTTTTTAACGGGCCATCAGATGGTTATGTTGAATCCTGGTGTGCTGTTCCGTTAGTTCGGTAGGATGTGGCTATAGTTTCTTAGCTGATGAAAAATTTCTGGAAGACTGTACTGTTTACACAACTAGTTCGGGCATGCTTCATGTTTTTCTGCCTAAAAATCAGACTTTTTTCTTCTTATATACAAAACATTTTGCCCCACCCAAAAAAGTTTGGCTCTTCACCCAAAGGAAAACTTAAATAAATAAATAAAACCTTTCCTTTTTCCATTGACTCACAGATAAAATACATTTTGTTTATCAAATAGACAAATATCTAGAAACACAGATTTTTGGATCAGCTTTGTGCAGTCAACCCCAAAGGTCCCATTTTAACCCTGTTCCCAACTATTTTATTTAATTTCCATGTCAAATTGGACTTTTTTTCAAAGTAGCCTTATTACCTCCTGGCTACACAAGCTGCTAACAGGGTTTACAAAAGTTGGCAAACAATAAATGGGGACAAACATGTCTTCAATGTGTGTGTTTATGTCCTTGTTAAAGTTAAGCAGAGACTTACTGAAAGTTCACTTTATCTACTTGGAACCTCGTCTCGAAAATCCCTGAAGTTAACACTCGGCAGCGTAGCAGGTCCTACACGTAGTGAACACAAAGAAACAAAACATGCAGTTCAGGGAAAGGAGGGGGAAAAAAGAAAGAAAAACAGCAGGCAGGGTTTTGCTGGTGATTTATACATTTAATACCGAGTACACTGGCAGGAGAACTGACCTGGTCTGTTGGCGTGTAGTCACTCTGTCTTACAGAATCAATTCTGTCCAGGAAACTGCAAAGGAGGGAACAGAAGAGTAGTTAAAGTTTGTTTGTCTTCCAACCATTTTGTATGTGCTGCGGAAAGAGTCATCAACATACAAAATGTAAAGTCACTAAACTGTAAAACTATAAAATAATTGACCATTGTTTTCATAAATACGTCGCCTTCACTGAACTAACCCAAAAATATAACTCCAGATCTGATCAGCTGGAAACTACAAATGGCACATAATGCATTTTGCTATATCTGTGCAGTACATTAAAATATTTACATACTACACTGAATGCTGCAGGAAACTGCTGCCATGTCTGACTCCTGTTTTAGGCCTGCTAGGCCGGTGTTAAGGCAGCTGTATGCCACAAGAGGGCAGGCCTGCTCAGTCTGGGCTATTTTGGTCTGTCTCTAGCCAGAGTGATTACATAAGGCGGTTACTGTGGAGGTTAGACAGCTTGCTGTTGCCATCTCTTCACTACTGAGAGAGCATGTGCAGCGGTAGCAGCAGCAGCTGGGCCTCTCTGCTGCACAGCAGGCAGGATGAGGACACCGAGGCTGGGGACACATGGTCACGCAGGCCCCTGGATCATCTGGATCACATCATGAAAAGACTCCAGCAAGGCCGGTCCAAGGGCCATGATACATTTAAAATACACCACGGGTATTTGAAAAGACAAGGCGCAATGTTTTTAAGAATAAGTCCACGAGCCAAATGTATAGATCAGCTGTTAATATTTCAACATTATTCTTTTTAGCACGGATTCACTGATATCTAGCTTGCTGTTGTTAACAGCTTTACTATTAAGCAACACTGAATGACAGGGTAAGAAATTAACCAACAACAGGGCACAAAGCAAAAATGCTTTTTACAATACAAATGTGCTTACTGCACAAAATTCATGTTACTCGCAAAAAAAAAAAAAGCTATAAACTGCGCTCTCTCGCACACAGTTTATATGATTTAATGATTATTTACTTTCCTAAAGTAAAGTGACAACAATTTAAAAAGTTTTTCCCCCTTTTTTTTTTTCTTTGTGAAAACCAAAAACCAAAAAAAGCAAAACATTGAAGATGTGAAAAATTCAATTTCAATTTACTTTTATTTATGTAGCGCCAAATCAATACAACAATCGCCTAAAGGCACTTGTATGGTAATGTAAAGATCCAACAATATTAGAGAGGAAAAACACCAGCAATCAGATGACCCCTTGTGAGCACACTCTTGTAGACAGTGTAAAGGAAAAACTCTCTTGTAACAGGAAGAAACCTCCGGCAGAACCAGGTTCAGGGAGGGGCAGCAAACTATAATATTTCTATTATTATTTTGGAGGACTATGGGTTAAACAATTTAAACAACTGAAAATGTCACTTTCCCAAAAAGCATATACATTATTCCATCACCTGATTGATTACTCCATCAGGAAGAGAACATCTAAATCTCCATCACCCTGCTTTATTTCAAATTAAATCCAAAGTGCTCCAGGTCACAGCCATGCCATATGGCAGACACATTTTATAGAAAGAATGGTACAAAGTGTCTGTCAGAGCAGAGGGGATAAAAGTGTGTACATCTTACAAAGTTTCCTCATCTACATCTGAAGCTGGTGAGTGATTCTAGTAAGTAGGACACAGATGTGGACCAAACAGGCTCCCCCTCACATCCTTCATTTTCTACCCAAACGCTCGCCAGCTTCACATTATCACAAGACAGCCAACACGGCTGCGGTGCACAGGAAACCCAAAGCGTCAGAAGATCCGCGTTCAGGTTTAGAATTTTTGTAGTCCGTTCATTTTCACTTCAGCCCTACAAGTAGCACACCTAACACACCCAATGAGAATTAAATAACCGAGAATGAATGCTCTATTATGAACCATTAGATAACAGAGACGCTGCTCATGTGCTCCGACAACAATGTTTTCATCACACCAACTGTTTCTGCCCACAAAAAAGGAGAAGTAAGGCTATTTTTGAAAGAGCACTCCACTTTCTCACAGTAAATACATATACATGAACAGTAAATACGCTTGCAGGATGATTACGTTTAACGTATGCAGTACAGAGAAAAGGAAGGTCACATCTGAAATTAACTCTAGCAGTTCACTTGGAAACCAAATACGCCATCATTATTTAAAAAAAATAATAAAAATGCTGTCCAAAATCAGCCGGTTATACATCGCATTTGACGTCCAAAATACATGTATGTAATGTAATTTCTTTTTGTGCCGTTTTAATTATGCAATATTTAAGTAAGTAACAGATGAAGTGCTCAGGACACATTACCATAGCCTGAGTTGGGATCTAAAAATTGTCCTTTTATTATTTTACTACCCTTCCTCTCCATTGGATCAACACTCTAATCCAGCATGTAAAATTCCCACAATTCTTTAATGTCTTTGATTTACAACCTGACCTTTGAAGGTGAACGTGAATACACGTTTTAGACATTCAATTCAGCCTGAAAATCATCTTTACAGACCTGACACATACACCAGAGACGTTTATGGACATGGTTTGCTTTGTAACGAAACGTCACAATCCATGTGGGATTTTCTATCTTACATCTTACATCTTGTATGGTTACGTGTCTCCCTGCATCTACCATCTCTTTGTCTATAATTCTATTATGTGTATAATGTTAGTGGTTTGAGTCCTGAATAAACAAAACTGGCCAGCGTTTCCCAGGAAAGGAAAAAAAAGTAAACAATAAAATCCACATCATCTTGTGTTCAGTTTGAGGAGTTTGTGAAGACAAGTAAAACTAGCGTTTTTGTTTATTTTGTTATATGGTTTTAGCAGGAAGCTGAAAATAACCTAAGGTAAGAGTCTCTTTTGGTTATAATTATTTTTAGCAGCTCTTGCTTCCTTTAGCTGTCCTATTTTTATTTTCCGCTTAGCTATATTATTTCTGTAGACTTCAACTCAGTAAAAGATGATAATTTTCCCCAAACCCATTTTCAAGTGGTTGTTAATGTTTCCCTTCCCCTGGGGAGCTGGGGTCGTAGCAATGAGAATTTAATTTTAAGTTATTTCTGACGAGTATAGAGGTCAATGATGCACATAGGCAATTACAGACAAATGGGCAGCAAAACACACACAAAAAAACCCCAACCAGACTCTGTAAACAATGTGGGCTTCTGAAAATGTTTCATCAGGTAGGAAGCCAATTCAGCGTGAAGATTTCATGAGATCAGGTCTCAGACTCACACTTTTCTTAGTGGTTAGTCTGCTGCCTTAATTGTTTCCTCTATGAAATGTCAGAATATGGTGATGAATCAAAGTCCTAGAACCTGAGATGATGTAACAAAGATTTGTGATAAAAAAAAAAAAAAAATCTCAAAATATTCAAACTCAAATAGCTGATAAAAAGTATGAAGCTGACTTGCATCGAGGTTTTTTTGCTTTATTTTATAACTTTGATTGATGTTACAAGTTGTGAATTGTGAATTTAAAGGCTCTCGTCAATTCCTCTTCAATATTTCTTACATTTTAAGCTCCTTCAAAAGCATCATTCAAACATGCTTTATCATCTAAAACCAGAATACTCATGTTTTCCATAAGTCTGTCACCTTTTCGGTTGACGTGTTTGCGCGTGTTACACAATATATTATGCATTTAAGTACCTATCACTTATCATTTATTCAATATTTTAAACAATTTCACCTGTCAACTATAAATTATCCAATTCACACATTCAGAAATACTCAATTACCAAAATAACGCCAGGTTAGTGATCAAGAAAATAATCAAGTTCACTTTGAGTACAATAACAGACAAAACATGATTTTAAATAAACACAAAGATGTGACGGATAAATAAAAATAAGCGCTGAGAGAGAGAAAACACGAATCTGTGGTTTAGAGCACAGCGTTTACTTTTTGTCCTGGCTCTGAAGTCATACAACATGAAGCACACCCATCATATTACACAATTAATTATATTATTTACCAATTAGCGCTTCTCTGGAGACGAGAAACACAACCAGTAAACCCCACTGCACTGCACTGTTATTTGAGACGGCGCAGTATATGTTAAAGTGTTCCTCCCTCACACACAGACACGCAAAAATACAGGCAAAGCCTTTTAAAATTCTCCAGCTTTTTTGCCCCATTGCTGCAACAATATGAGAGTATTTTTAGTCAGCCTTCCTTGCAGAAACCCAGCTAGGTTATAATTACTGAGTGCTTTGTGACTGCCATGTGACAGAAGTACTATTGGTAGAGCAATGGAGATCCAAATATAGTCTCTGTACCAGGCAAGAGGCTAGAAAAAGAAAGAGAAAAAACAAGAGTACTGGATCCAGGAAAAAAGGCCGAAAAAGATAACATTGATCATCAAGTGGCCGACCAGATAATGCCTTATCAAAAGGTTTCAGTGCAGTTTACAGTGACTACAGCTGTTCTGGTTGAGTGCTACAAATAGACGGGTTTAAGGTCCAGAGAAATCTGTGGTTTGTGCTCCGTTTCTTCAGTTTCCTCCGAGAACTGCTCAACGCTGGCGTCTGAGATCTTTGTGTGATGTGGTCATTTTGTCATATTTGTGGCTTTGGAGGGATAGCAGGCCGCCATTTTGCCACTTTGTTTTTAGCATGTGTACAATATATACACAGAAAACTATGCTTGGCATTTATGAATTAGTTTTATGACTTTAAAATTTGTTCACAACCATCAAACCACATTAAATGAGATGTAATTTCTCATTTGTTTTTAGCCTGGCACAGTAGCGCTCTTATAAAGAAGGCTTTTTACTGTTTCATGACAGTTTGTTTCTGTATATATATATATATATTTAAAGTTAAAAAGAAAAAATACCAACAATCTGCTCTCTAACAGTCCCCCTCTTATTCTTTTTGTGTTGGGCTGGTGCTGTGGGCCAGCCTGTGTGCTATGTATAAACTTTGTTGTGGGCAGAATCGTATGGATTGACATAAGAAATATACTACACAGCAAGTTCAATATAGTCAGACCCCACCAATGAGAGGCATCGTAACAATTTTTAGCTTTCTTTACCGTTTTTGTTT